TGTGAACAGCTTACATTAACCACATATCATGGGGATTTTTCTCTCGTCTTAGTCCCCTTTGTTTTAATAACGCTGGCGGTGCCATACCTTAAAATTATAGTGTATGCTCTTAGAGACAGCCCTTTGTGTCTGGATCAGGCCCATACTACCCCAGCTAGGCCTGTGCTCCATGATGGGGCCAACATTGCTCTCACCTGGTCCTGCATGACCCAATTGAAGAGTCAAGTGAGGGCTTCCCCTGGTTCAGAAATTTGGCAGCAAGGGGGCAGCAATTAATCCTGCCATCACTCCCCCACTGCCAAATTTTCAGACTAGGAGAAACCTCTGGATAACACAACTCTGCAGGCCAGATGTGGTCTATAGACCAGGGGTTGAGCATCCCTGGACTTACTCTTCTACATAATCAGGTTACCAAAAGAGACTGTTCTCCTGATTAAGTTCTCATTTCTCCACAGGTTTACTGTCCACTTCTCTTTTTAGTGACCAGTTTCATTAACATAATAGATAGAGGCAGATAGCTGTGTTAGTCTGAAGTCAGGCAGAAGGCAGGGCAGGGTAGAAAATAACTTGGGGGTTGGCAACGTTTTCGGGCAGAGTGCCAAAAACACCCACAACCTCAATTTGTAAGATGTTGGCACGCCAGGGGCAGACGGCAGAGGAGCCACGAGGAGCCCAGTTCTTGTTGTGTCAGCACAGCTCCAGCCCTTTCCCTGCCGTCCACCCAGAGGCATGTGTGCCAAGCAAAATGCCTTTGTATGCCATGCTCTGACACCCATGCCAGGGGTTGCCTACCCCTGAACTAACTGGTTCAAAGAGGCATAAGCTTTCATAGGCACAGCCTGCTCCAGCAGATGCCCTGACTCATAATAGGGTTTAATGTGTACTAACTCCAGCTGAGTCTGTATCCGTTTCTTTGCCAGATCTGAGAAGGGCATTCTAGGCTCAAAAACCTGTCTAATATTTCTTCCGAATCTAAAGTTGAACCAGTAAAAGATATCAAGTTTGCTTCTTGCAGGGGAGAAGAAGCAAACATCCAACATCTCCTGACAAAATGTTTTTCCCCACTGGAAAATGCTGGTGTAACAAAATCAAAGAGGCATAAAATGTTCATAGATGAGAGCTGACTTCATCAGCTGGCAAGTGACAGCCTATAAAAGCTTATACCTTTCTAAAAGATTTAGTTTCTAAAACTTCAGACTAACACTGCTAGCAACTTCTCTCTCTCTCTCTCTCTCTCTATGGAACCTATTGATTTGGTTGTTTATTGATGGGAAATTATCTAAATGTTTTATTTTGACTTTAACAGGATAGAATACAGTCAAAAAGAGAAACTTTGAAATGAAATATTTTAGCGGAGTCAAAATGAAATATGTGGGGGTAGTTAACAAATGGAAAATTCACATTTCTGCTTGTCATCCCAATTTAGGACAAAATGAAATTTAAAAATTGCAGAATTTTTCCCCACCCTGGGAATTTTGGTTTTTGTGGGGTTTTTTATTTATCAACCTTCCTGGAAGGCTAGGTCAATAGTACTATCATCTTGGCCATAACCTATTTTCAGGACACATGTATATATGGTTTAAAAGTGTTAATGACTGATTAATGTTTGTTACAGGCTTGTTGATTACCTAAGTCACATGTGTTCTTCATGGTTACAAGCACACACTAAGTATTTTAGTTGCTGTTGAACCATGGCCTGAACATCCAACTGATCTATTGGATTCTAAAGCAAGTAATCCTCCTAATTACAAAGATATCCACTGAATTATTCATAAACTCTTTCAAACCATCTCTGAATGGAACCTTCCTTTAAAAACCGTGACCATATTTGATTAAGGGCCTGTCTCAGGCAGATATATGACCATCAGGAGTAGATCTGAAGGATTATTTTCCAGTAGGAAGATCTTGCTCTCTCTATTGTGGATGGACGCAGCAGAACAGACAGGAACCACATGTCCTTGGGTGCTCCAGGCTCACCCCAGGGTATTTGAAGACTGTCCTGCTGTCTTGATTGATTTCCGAGCCAGGGTTCCTGTCCGGGACAGTTGTGTGCTCTGGTCCTATGGAGAAAGGAGAAAACGCATCAGTGTCAGTTAGGGGAAAAACAACCCAGAGAAACTTAATTGACAGAAACTCACTGCCTGGAGCATCACGTGCCAGGGAGGAATCTAGCTGTGTGAATGGGTGGATCTAGGATTTTGAAAAGGGGAGTACAGATGGTGAGGTGCATCCTCCTCCTTTTTTCCAGTTAAAAATACAGCAGAGTTGTCAAAGGAAGTATAGCTTGATTAGTGGAACATTAAAGCCATTAAAAATGAGACAGGGTTGCTAGCACCTATGGAATGAAGAATTTAGAAGGAATCAAATACGAGCTATGAAGTCAGTTGACTCTGTCATTGCTGCCTGAATAAAAATACTGCTGCTGTTGCTGCCAGGCAGTTGGTTTCAAACTTTGGGTGGACCAGAAATCAAAGTGGCACAACTGTACCCCCACTCCAGATCTCCCCCTGGCTGTGTCAAATGAGAAAAGACCAAGATCACTTTGTATCTTAAAGCTTATCATGGCTTAGGGAAATCTGCACTAAACATCCTGCACTGGCACAACAAACAAGGGCTTGTTCAGAAGCAGCTTGGCCTGGAAATCTACTGGTTTACATATACTGGGGAGGTTCTATGCTGATGTAGACAGGGCTGTAGAGAAAGTAGGAGGCAAACTGATCTGTGCTCAGGCTATTGGTCTGCCTGTGTTCAGAATAAGTTTCCAAGAGCCAAGCAGGTCTCCATCTGTGCTCTGTGGACAAACGTTTCTCCACTTGGCATCTCCTTTGGTGGTAAAAGGGAGTCAAGGACTGTGTGGATAACAAAACCAAAGTAAGTGACTTCTCCTTATCTGGATCCAGGGACATAAGCACATGGCAGGGTGGAGGAAGTCTGGACCATCATATTGGTGAGACAGCATCCAACCAGTATCTATCACCAGCACTACATTCAAAGGCACTTTGAAATACCTAAAAGGACAAGCGGTCCCTAATAGGACAAACCCACCCCACAACTGCTCTTTATGCAATAAACACAGCCTTTTATTACTGGCTCAGGAGAACAAAGTCCTTGTAGAATCAGGAAGGAAAGCCTGGAGCACAACCACTACAGGGCTGACCTAAAGTCCTTCAAAGTCCATGGGAGTTTTTTCACAGATTTCAGTAGGCTTTGACTCAGGCCGAAGGGAACTAAGCACGTCAGGTGCCCATGTTGGCAATTTGAGACCTATCTGTTGCAAAGGGAGCTGAGCATTTTAGAACATCTGACCCTTCACTTCCTCACTGGGATCTGATCTCTTCTGGTATAGTCTGGTGCACACTCACCCTCTTTACTCCAGGCTCAAGGCCTCATTGAAAAGCCACATCAGGCCAAAGGTGCTGCTCACTGAGGCAAGAAAAATCTGCAAGAGCTGTGCTGAGGAAACAGCCCTCTGCATTGCAGTGAGGGCCCTGCTGAGAAAGCGGAGGCAGTCGTGGGAACAGCGCAGCTCAGCAGACAACTTCCCTTCCGCAAAGCTAACCCAACCTCGGCTAGTTTCAGTCTTGAGTGGTTCCAGTCCCCTATGATGATGACATCCTCCTATGTGGGGACTTATCTTTTCTTTAGTTCTTAAATGTAACTTGCAAAGGAGGGGAAATAATAAGCAAAGGCTTTGGAGCACTTCTGCTGCTTTCCACTGGATTCCCAAGTGGTGAAAAAGTCTCCTGAGTCTGGAAACAAAAGGATTCTAATTTCCCAGGTGCCAAGAAAGCAGCCTTACACTTACTAAGACAGGCCAGGAATAGTATCTCATGTCTCAAAAAAAATGTGCTAACTTTTATTGATTCCAAATCTGCAGGGAGGAAAAGATTGTGGGTGCGAAGCCCCAACCTCCCTTGCTCTGGTGGCTGTGGGGAAAAAGCTCTAAGTATGCAGATCTGAGCCATCCAAAAAATCAAAAATAGAGAAGGCAGGGAAGATGCGTTGAAGCAGCCAAGAGGTGTCCTTGCCAAATTTGCTTACAACGTCACAGAGAAAGGGGAAAGAAAAGGCAAAAACAAGCTTATTTTCATTTTCTTTCCTAGATAGCATTTAAGGGAAGAGAGACTTGGGGCTGGGGGACAGCACTGTAGTGTCCAAAGAGAGTTGGAAGAAGACTGCTTCAGTGGATTTGAATCTTCTGCTCTGCTACAAACTCAGTGTATGATCTTGAACAAGTCCCTTAGCACCTCTGGGCCACACAGACTTCTTCCATCTGGATAATAGCAGCTTCCTGTGATAGGGAGGTGCAGAGAAGGAAGACGCACTACAGACTGCAAGTTGCTCAGACAGCATGGCAATTGAGGCCATGTAATTAACTTAGGGACACTGGGAATACTGCTCTTTTCCCCAGGATTCCTCTCTAGGGCAAAACACGGGGAGAACACCATCACAAGCAGACTGAAGTATGGGGCACCTTTTCCCTCCCACCCCACATGTCAGCACGAGGCTGTGGGGGTTGTTGGAGTGTGAGCAAGCTGGGGTCAGGACAAAGAGGGACGGCAAACAGCTTTTCTGGTCCCAGGGGCACGGCAAGGTCTCTTGTCCCATCTAGCCCATCTCTGGGGGGTGGGTGACCAGAATGCCAGCTGAGCTGCACCATACTTCGTTAGTTTATGCCCAGGTTGGTAATCAATGGCTCTGTTCTTTGATGGCCTAAAGCCCCGTTGGGCTTGGGCAGTCCTGTTTCCCTCCACTCCAAGACTGGGTCACTCCAGCACTGGCCTCGCCCTTTCTCCTCTGGCCCCAGCTCCCCCAAGGCCTCTGTCACTTGCTGAATGCTAGTCTCATGTCTTTCAAAGAGGAACGGGAGGGCCTGTCTGTGGTTCACCAAAGGACTCCAGTGCTCCACAAAGGAAGTGCTTGGAGACTCTCTGTCTGTTTCTCAATTAATCAAGTTTGCTGAATGTGGCAATTACCGTGGTCCAGCAGCCTCCTATGTCTTGTGTACCAGCTTTAGTTTTGTCGAATGAGCTATCGTTGAACAAGCTTTAGTTCAAGCACCCCAGCTGCCATTTTAAGTGCGGGGGCACTGATACATGAGAACACAGTGGCACTTTAAAGCAGCTCTTGGAGCCACTCTAATCAAAGTGCCACCCACAGATCACATATAAAAGGCCAGGCCTCCAGCCATAAACCAGGGCTAATGTTTCAAGGCCTTACAGGAGCATCAAAGGGTTAAATGTTTGTAAAATGCAAAGCAGATCCTTTGCCTACCTATCACTCCAGCCCTGTGCATGCCAGATTGGACCCAGCCCCACATGCAGTGAATTGGGCTTGCTACTTCAGCCCCAGCTCCATGCACACTGAATGAGGCTTGTCAGCCCAGCCCCAGCCCTGGCCCTGGCCCTGTGTGTGCTTACTGTCCCAGCCCTAGCCCTAGCCTTGGCCCTACATGCGCCAGATCAGGCTCGCTGCCCTGGCCCGGATGCTGGATCAGGGCTTTTGACCCAGCCCTGCTCACAGGCCCTATGCAGCACACAGGGTCATGTCATCTGGCTTGTGGGGTTTGGAAATTTGGGGGCAGGGGAGCAGTGCCACCATACCCCCACTGCCAAATTTCTGGACCCGTGAGAAGCCCTACAAGCCAGATGACACCGCTCTGCAGCCCAGAGGTTGGGCACCACTGCTCTAGGGGACAAAATTTCTCTTTCTTGGCTTGTAAACAAAATTTCTCTTTCTTTTGCTGGCCCAAAAACTTCCAGCCAAGCTACAGCAATTCTTACTTGGAGCCTCAGTGAGGTCGCTTCACGCGCTGCCTGGCCAAGGAACACCCCCTTAGACATATTTCACATGCGGTGTTGCCTGACCTTTATCCCATGGCCAACATCATCCAGGATGCTGAAGTTGAGAGGCTTCCGGAAGTAGGGTTCCCGGCGTTCCGGGTTCTGTGGGTAGATGATTTTCTGGTAGAGTGGGGGCTTCTTGCAGGCGGCCAATGTCCCGATCTCCCGACGAGCCACCTTCTCCTTGTGCATGTCAACCATCTGCAGAGAATCACTCTCATCACACAGGCCTCTTTTGAGGGGCATCCCTCAAAACCAGGACTTGCAAGTCTTCAGAGGCGTAAGTTCTGCACCCCCCCCCAACCCTTAAATATAGGGAGGTCCAAAAATACTCTCCTCCTCTCAAAGGAATGGGCTCTGATTAAACCTAGGATGGCTGGGAGCCATGACTCCAAGGTCGCCATTTTGGCTGTGCTATGAACTCTTCGTCGCACCAGCCTCTATGAAGTGATGGGAAGGATTGCTACCTCACAGAGAGGATGCCCTACTAACAGCTGCAGTATTAGGCATGCAGAGGGCCAAATCCTAAGCTGATGCAACAGCGTTCCTCCAGTGACCTCCCCAGACCTACACCAATTTATACCAGCAGCAGATCTGGCCCTTAGAGATCTCTGAAGGACAGAGCTAGGGGCCAGAAGGGATGGTGAAAAAAAAAAATGGTGATTATTTTTGCTCCAAGACACACAAGCTGCTGTTAATCCATTTCACTGCTGCTTCCTGAGGAGTTTTTCATAATAAATTAAGACTCCCCAGCGAACAGGAAAGTTACCAGGCAACTTTCAAGCAACAGGAAGGGGGCTGGCGGCTGTCACTGGGCTCTGCACGCATCCGTATATTCCAGGAGGATAAGAGGGGGCAGGGTGGCGAACATGCAGATTCCCAGGGGCTTTATGAGCGAAAGCAAACCCTTCAGCTTGCTAAGGAGGAGGCATTTCCTTTGTGGTAAAGGACAGTGCATGTGAGAAGTTAGCAGCCAGCTCCAGGGTGTCTCCACCAGCCCCTCTCCCACGATGCAGTGTGTGTGTTTGCACAAGCTGCAGTCCCAGGGTAGGCTTTTTGTGAGGTTCTCGGCACCCCCAGCCCTCCTGTTATGCAGTGGGGGCAGTGGTGACAGGCGTTCAGCCCCTCTGAAAACCAGGCCTCAGAGTACCCCTGAAAGGTTCAGTGGGGGAATCACCAATTCTTCTTAATAGGATGACGCCTCAAGGAACTTCATCGGGGACACAGGCCCCTTTGTGCCAGATGCAGATTTGCACATCGGAGCTGTAGCCACTAGCCAGTCTCTAGGGGGACAACACCCCAGCCAGGAAGCATGGACTAGAGAGGACCCTGCTGCAATAACATGTAGTGGACCCCACTTGTGCCCACAGGGATATTTGACTCCCCCCCCAGAGCTTCAGTGCTGAAAACACAAGTACTCCCCATGCACTGCACATGCTGTAGTCCCCATTCTCAATAGTATTTAGGCACCCAACTGCCATCAAATTCAACTTCCATTTTAATTGTCTTCCTGAAATTGATTTGTGTTGGTTCTTTGGAGACCTCTGAGGATTTTGACCTAAGTATAATCATAGAATCACAGAAAAGCAGGCCTGGAAGGGACCTCAGGAGGTCATCTAGTTCAATCCCCTGCTCAAGACAGGATCATCACTGTCTCAACTAGCTCAGACAGGTGTTTGCTTAATCTACTCTTAAAACTGCATGACCAACCTTCTCACACAGCTACCAGACACAAAGCTCCATTACCAAGAACATCTTAATTTGCCACAGGTAAATTAGGGGCACATGGGCACTGTCACTGTCCTGCTGCTGCAAGGACAGGAACTTCTTTGTTAAAACGCACTTGAGAAATGCAAGGAAGAGGATCATGTCCTCCAGTACAGAGGAAAGCAAAACCCCTCAAAGTCCACGCCATTCTGACTGTAGGGTAAAATTCCTTCCCCATCTTCAATATAGCAATCACTCTGACCCTGAGTGGAGGGGTAAGACCTTCTAACCAGGAACCTCCAGGTTTTTCAGGCCCAGCATAAGCCTCTGGACCTATCTCTGTGTAAGGCTGAAGACTCACCTCCCCACAGTGCAGCTGTCATAGGCAGTGGATCAGAGCATGTTCCCACCCACCTGTGCAGTAGAGCAGATGCTGGCTTCCACCTGGCGCAGTTCAGCCGCCTGCAAGTCCAACATTTTCAGGACCTTGCTGGCCAGGTTGCTGATCTGGTAGGCCACACTAGCCAGGGACTGGGCACTATAAGCCATGGTCTCCTCCAGGGCTTTCCGCTTATCTTCTGCCTGAAAGAGAAAAAGTCTGAGTCACCCAGCCCAGAAGGCACATTAGTACCACTGCAATGGAGTAAAAAGACCTGGAGAGCCAGGAGCCTGGTGTGGCCCTGCCTGTTGAGCTGGGGCATTAAGGGGTAGGGAGCAAGGCTGCATTTGACATTTTACCACCACATTCTTTGCAACATTTGGTCCTTGGGGAACTCAGATAGTAGCTCTTTGGCCTCTAGGCCAACCATCTTGGTGTCTCAAGAGAAGGGAGAAGATGGCAGAGGAGGCTGGTCTATTTTTTGCATGTGAACGTCAAGTTGGTTTCAGGGGCAGGTTTGACAGCTCTGGACACTCTGTCTCCAGGGCATGCTCAATGCAAACTTCTCCCTGCTTTTATGCCTGGGTGCGGTATTGAAGAGGCCATCCTCTAGGGGGTTCGATCCCCAGCAGCCAATTAGCTTCACAAGCAAGACTGTCAACAAGGGGAGCAAAAAGACACCAGGCCCTTGGAACCAAGCTGAGCCCGACTCTGTTTGTATAGACCTCCAAGCAGCCTCCAGAAATCTAGTCTGATAAAATACTAGCTTTTATGGATACGAACCACTGCTCTTTTGTAGGTAGAATTAGAGTTTCTCAGCTGTGTGTTACAAGCCCTATACTCACTGCTAATGGAGAGTCACTTTTAGTTGAAAAGTTAACAGTACTACCCACTCCCCCCCCCACACGTCATACGAAGTTTTTTAAAACAAGAACATCCAAATTCTAGCCCCGCCATTACGATTCAATTCCATACAACAGCACAATCTGCCCCAAAGAGCCAGCGATGAAATTTCCACAGGCACGGATGATTTGCACTGTTTTTTCATCCAAGCCAAATTCAGAAACCTGGGACCTGCCCCTGACCCCTTACAAGGCCCCTTGTACTGAGACAGGACAGGCTGGTCAATTATACCCTCAAAAAGTTGATTATTGTTGGCAAGAGGTGGTGCTTGCAGGAAGCAGAGCGCTCCAAAGGCAGATTCTTTAGAGACAGCACCTTTTAATTTCAGTCCAGCTTAATTTGAGGACATTTCCTTCTGCTTTCCAAATGCATCAAACTTCCTTCAGAAGCATCAACAGAACAGAGGGAGGTCGCTGACACGGATTACTCAGTGGTGCTTGTTTCTGTCTAAAACTAACCACACCCCGGCCTTGTTGTGAGGATAAATGGAGCTGTTATTCCCAACACGAATGAAAAAAAGCATAGATGAGTCCTCACATGGAAAGGGGCTCAAATCTTACTGCAGGACAAAAGGGAATGAAATCTTCTGTTTCATTAATGGAAATAAAGGCCTGATCCAAAAGCCCTGCAGGCTGTGGTGAGACTCCCATTGACTTCATTGTATTTTGGGCCAGGCCCTAAATTCCAGTTTTCTGTTCCAACAAATGTAACTTCTAAGGTAAGAGTCAAAGCACAGGCAGTATCTCTGTGCTGCTGTGTTTCTGCCAGCTGGGATTTCCTGAGCTCTCACAAGCTAAGCAGGTCTAGGTGAGCTCCGTTTTTGCATGTCAGCTAGTGATTTGATAGATCACCCTTCTCTCTGTACCAGCACTTCTATCCTGGTGTTAACAAGAACCTGGTTCTGCTTTCCAAGCTATTGTCTATTTGTCGTTATAAGAGACTGCAGTGGTAAAAGTGAAACACCACTATAGCTTGATTGTTAACCCCAGCATCCTGGCCAGAAGCCGTCTTGAACATTATGTCCTACATCATAATATTGACATTCCACCTTTATTTCCAACCATTCAGCCGTTTGTGCTATAAAAAGGTGTTGCATGTGACCCTGGTGTGCCATCCCAGTAGTGGCCGCATTTCAGAAGGAGCAGTTAGTTCACTTTAGACAAAGAATTGGGCCAGGGAGCTGGACTTGATGATTTTCCAAGGTCCCTTCCAGCCCTAATGCCTATGAAATCTATGAAATTCACACAGCTTTTTGAATCTGTGGTGGGAAGGTGATTAAAGCCTTGGACCTGGGCTTAGGAGACCTGGGTTCAAGTCCTATTTCAGCCATGGGCACCTGGTGAGGGGCTGAGCCAGTTACTGAACCTCTGTGCATCAGTTTCCCCTTTATAAAATCTGGATAATGTTTCCTTTGTCTATTTAGAGTGAGCAGCACCCATCAGTAGCAACCCCCAACCTCAACTCTGGCTTCCTGCCACTGACAAAATGCAAATAATATGATAAATTCAGAACCATTCTTTATTGCCATTTGCTGGAAGGCTGCGATGCTTCGGTGGCCAGGGAAGGAAAGACGCTGACCTTTCTTTCCATAAGCAGGCACAGGACAACACTGGACTGACCTGGGAGGCCCCTTCCTGCCCCATGAGACCCTAGAACAGCCCTCCCCCAGCAACTGTCACTGAAACCTGATGACAAAAAGCAATAGGGAGGAACTTCAAGGTCAAAGCCACAGCTCAGAGACATAGGGCCTTCATTTCAGGGGATTCTGCTGCTTCACAGGTGTGTGAGCTGAGCAGTATCAAGCAGCCTTCCTCCCCGCATTTCCTGTCACACACATTGCAATGAGGACCATTTTCATCTGTGCACTGACCTGTAACATCTCTCCCCATACTAATGTGTGAATAATGTACCAGGCTTCCCCTTTAAGCAAAACATAAAAGCTGTCTGGAGTCATCAAAACAAACACTGAACAAATACAAGGGGTCCTTTAGTCTTTTCCCACCATATATTTCAGTGCCTATAACCACAGACCAACAGGATGACTTCACAGCTAAGACAGTGGCTAAGACTCAAAACGTAGGGTCAGTTCCTGCCTCTGCCACACACTCCTTGTATGACCTTGGGTAAGTCACTTAGTCCTCCTGCACAAGTCCCTATCCAGAAATGGAGATAATGCTTCCTTGCTTGGTCAGTCTTATCTATTTGAATTATACACTTTTTTTGGGATAAGGCAGTCACTAACTATGTGTTTGTAAAGCACCATAAACAAGAAGGTCTTTAAAAGCTTCTGTAAGACGGTTCCAAATATGGGCTTGTCTGGTATCCTTTCAGAGACTTTGTTCTGTCTCTGGGCTTTATATTGCTGCCTGGCATGGCACTTTTCATGTAAAAGCAGGAGGGAAATCCCTAGCAGGATCCTAGCAAGGGAGCTATCCCCTGCTATGGTTTTCACACTTTGCTCTGAGCTATCCCAGGAGCTGCCACAGCTCAGGCCTGTGCTGTGCTTTACTAGGGCAAGAGGGATCTCACAAGTTATATTTTGCAGTCACAGGGGTCATTACTTTTTTGGCCACATAAATCTGATCATGCCTGCTTAGCAGATCAGTAGCTGTTTGTCATTATCAGCAAAGTAGCACCCACAAACCCCAGCTGAGATCACGCCCTTCTCCACTGGATGCCATACAACCCCATAACCACTGTCTTCACAATGAGAGAGGTGTGTTCTCAGTTCAAGGTGAAATCCTAGGACAGACAAGGCAGTGTGCCATTTTTGCACAAGTTAGCTAGTTGAATTAGAAAGGAACTGGGGTTCAGATCCTCAAAGGTACCTAATTGTCACTGAAGCCAAAGGGCATTAGACACCCAGATCTCTTTAAGAACCTGGGCCAAGGCTCTGACTTGAGTGAAGAATGCCCTTTCTCTCCACGATGCAGACAGGGCCATAGTGTGGGAGTTAGTGCACTAAAATGTTGACAGTCTAAGGCAGTGCTTCTCAACCAGTATGCCACAGCACGCTGAGGTGCCTTGAGCTCCTGTCAAGGGCAAGGTGGAGTGCCACACAATGTTAGGTGTGCAATCATGATTCACAAGATAAACCCAGAAATTTCAAATAGAAATCCCTAATGTGAAATATACTCTGATCTGTTGTAGTCTTTCTGAGTTCTCTGCAACAACAAAAAAAAATGCTGTATTTTTTCTGTAGTCAAAAAATGGATGAAAGCTAAGAACTGGCATTTTCCAAGGTGTGCTTTGCATCTAACAAACAGTGCCTTCAGTCTAAAAAGTTTGAGAACCACTACTTTAACGGAAATAGGACACATGAGAAGGAGACACTTCTCTGAGATGACAGCAAACCAGGGGCAGAGCCAGGATGAGAACCCAGGGATCACACTCCAGCCCAATGCACTCTTCCCCAGCACAAACTCACTCCCCAAAGTTACAATGATTTTTCTGTTATGCACAGGCTACACAACACCCCTCTTAATCTTCTGTACAAGCTGCCTTTCTCCACAGCCTCACAACCCACAGTGACTGCTGCACCTGCTGTTTCAACAAGCTGCCACTTGCCACATTTCTTCCTTTCCCAGACAGGTGTCCTGGCTCCTCCTAGCCCCAGACACCTCCCCTGGAGCCATGGGGCACAGCTGGGCATGCGGAGGCCAGCAGGGACACACTCACCTGCATGTAGTTGTTCTCACAGTAGTCAGCCACTTTGTGGAGGTTGCTGTAATTGTCCCGCAGGACCTGCCTGGCAGAGGGGATCTCATGCTGCTGTAGCTGCTGCAGCTCAGACATGCTGCTCTGGGTTGCTGCTTTGCTCTGCTCCTCTACCACTTCCTTCTCTGTGAGGTCTGCTGTCTACACAAGGGTTTTGAACCTTGCAGCTCTCAGAGCCATTGGCTGGGGGCCCAGTCACACTCGGAACTGGCTTCCACCTCCCCTTTGCATTGTGGAGACAAGCTGACGCCTTCAGCATAAACCCTCAAGGTTCACTGCGAACATGGCCTGTCATCCAGTTGGCTGACTTTGAGGGATCCCTGCCCCAAAGCCTTTGCTAGCTGCCCTCACAGCACAGTCTGCATCTGAAGGCTATCACAATGATTGAGGAAGAATAGGAAATTGCCACCTGAAGCATTGTTCTATACCTCTGTCTATGCACTGGACTCCCACACCCTCCGGGAGGCTTGCACTCAGACTAGATCACAGTGCAAAAAGACAGGTGTTAAAGTACAGAGCCGATCCCTTCAGCCTGGGTCCGGAGGGAGGTGAATTGATGGAGACAGCAGCCCGCACCAGCGGACATGCTCCTGGGACACTCCAGGGACCAGGGTGAGAGCAAAGTAGTGGTCACAGAGGATGTGAGTCACGCTTTCCTGAGGCAGGGAGAGGGGAAAAGTGGGGCTGAACTTTCAGGCTGCCTCAGACTCCTCAGCCTGCCCCACTCTGCCACCTGCTTGCAATGTTTGGTCCAACAGTCGTGGCTAAACCGGATGTGGTCCTTGAAGCCTCCTGATGGAAACACAGCCTCACAGCACAGCTCTGGAGCAAAAGGCTTGGCCCTTCTGAAACCAGCAAGGGGAGAGCTGAGGGCAAGAGCAATAAGGTCCTGGGTTGCCCAGCACAGTGATCCCTGAACCATCCTCAGAACCAGCTGGAAATCTCCATCTAGCCCATAAGCAGGCTCAGCCCTGCTCTTTAGACCTTGATTGCACTCCGTACAGAGGGAACCTTATCTAACTGTGTCTTCACCTGACCACAAGGAAGGACTTAGCACACTTTACCTCCAATCTATGCTGTAGCATGGAACACCAGACTCTTGCTCGCTGTGCTGTGCTGGCATTGTGTGCCCTTCAGCTGGGGCTTCTTCAAGCTTGGGCAAGTCCCCATTGGCACAGAGCCCACTTCACCCCCACAACGGACAATATGAAGGAGGATATAAAAGAAGATCCCCTGAGCAACCAGGAAGGAAGTGAACAGGGACAGTGAAGAGGGAAGTTTGTAAGCAGTTCACTGGGAGCAAGAGGAAGAAGGAAAAGAGGAAGAGGAAGAAGAGCCAGGCACCAGATCCTGCTCCTGGAAGGTAAGTGAGCTAGGGCTGCCTGTGTGTTTAGTTTGCTGCATGAATGCCACATGCCCCCTGGGGCTGGGGGTGCATGGTGAGCTCCTGCAGGCAGTGGCAGTGGCAAGCAGGAAGCTCCCACAGGCAGCCACAGCGCTGTCAGCAGCAGCGGGGGGAGGGTGGTGAGCGCCGACCGGCAGTTGCTGACCACTTACCACTTACAGACACTGCTGGCAGAGGCGATCACAGACCACCCGCAGTGTCAGCAGCACCTTTTTGCAGGGGGTGCACCACCATGCTCAGAGTGTGCATGTGCACCTGCGTGTACCCCCTATGCCAATGCTTTGCTGAGTGTTTGTTTGGTGAGCTGTGTGTTTGGGCATGTGGTCTGAGCAGCTGAGAGCACTGCTAGCTGGGGAATTGCTCCCCATGTCTGACAAAAGCCCTAATAAGGGGGTGGAGGCAGTCAAGGCCCAGGAAGGTATAAAAGTAGACTCCTAAGTGACCAGGGACAGCAAACTGGGCAGTCTGGAAGCAGCTTACTAGGGGCAAAAGGAAAGAGGAAGCAGCACCAGATCTTGCTCTCGGTAGGTAAGTGAGCCAGGGCTGTCTGCGTATTTGGTCTGCTGAGTGTTTGTTTGGTGGCCTTGTCTTTGGGCATATGCCCCGAGCAGCTGGGAGAGCTGCTAGCTGGGTGATTGCTGCTTATGTCTGACAAAAGCCCTAGCAAGGGGGTGGAGCCAATCCATGCCCGGAGGGTATAAAAGGAGACTCCCTGAGTGAACAGGTGAGATGGCTCACAGGGCAGTTTGCAAGTCCATTCTTACCTGGCAGGGGAGAAACCGTGAGGTGGCTTTCCGCCCAGGTCGTTTTACTTACCTGGCAGGGCACGTACTCTTCTTCTCAGCCTGACTCGGTGTAGTTAGAGAGGGCAAAGCCCTGTCCTCTGTCCCCTGCAAGAGTCTACAAATGTCTCCAAATGCAAGAATATCAGCTATACATTTTATGGTGATGGGGGACTGCTCTTGGACTTTCCCTCTAGCTTGCTCCTTTGCCCTTTTAGCTAAGGGCGAGTGAGGCTAGGGGGCATCTGAATGTCAAGGGACCAGGCTTGAGGCTTGCACGTAGAACGCCTGCCATAGATTTGGGTGTATCTGAAGTCCCAAGCAGAAGAGTCTGGGAAGTATTATACGTGCTGGAGGTAGTGTCACACAGACTTGAATGATTGAGGTCTGCT